TGGTTTATACCAGTCCATTTCGGGGTTTGTTCTTGATCCTGTTAACATCTGTCGTCGACAGCTCCGTTTCCAGAAAAATTCTCGTATAACAGCTGCTGCTGGCAGCAATCTTTACGCTTATTTACTCCTATTTTTTCCTCTGAAACCACTTTGCTCAAATATCTTCCTAACTAACTGTAATTGAAGGAATTGAATACAAAATGATTAATCTTTGAATTGAATTCACATTATGAAACTTATGACAGGATAAAAAATTCATTTTATCTTCAAATATATTTGAAAAAAAATGCATTCATTTTAATTCATATCACATATCTAAATATCAAAATTCGAGTGTTAGTATGTTATTTATTTTAATATTTCTATTATATAGATTTCTCTTTAAAATTTATTTATCTTCAATTTTGCATATTTTCAAGTATGCTTCATCTGTATTATTCATATCATTATATTAAATTTTTCTTATTAAGACATGAGATAAAAAGAAATTGAAGAGAGTTAATCGACGATGTAAAAGAAATAAAATAAAAGGAAAAAAAAAGAAGATAGGTCTCCGCAGTGCGTCTGATAGGCTTCGTTCATAGGGAGGTTGGGAGGTAGGGAGGTTTCCGAGGTTGGGTAGTTGGCTAGGGTGTCCAAACCCCAACATAAACGAACAGACGCACATAAATGCGCAGATAGTAGGTAGAGGCACCTATACAAGTCTGTTTCACGACCATTCGAAGAACGTCGTGCAGTTCCCCTGTTCTACCTAAACTTAGCCTTGGATATGTATACCGGGTGATTTAAAAAAAATTCATTTCATTACTTTTATGCTTATATTTCATATTTGATTGAAGAAATATATATATATATTTATTTATCTTTTCTTATTTTATATTTTTTTTATGAGTTTAATTATATATTTTATCTCTAGATTTATCTCAACGCATAATATACGCAATAAAAAATTCTTTATTCAATTTTTTCCTCTTTTTTTTTTTTTTTTACAAAAAACTTGTATGGATAAGGAAAAAAAAAGATAAGAAAAAATATTATGATTTTATTTATGATAATAGGATAGTTGTTGACACATACTCAAAGTAAAAAGAGAATTATATAATGTTGAAAATGAATAAAATGTTATTAAAACGTAAACAATAATACTAACGGATAGAAGACGGATTATATATTAAAATTCGCATGACGTAAAATTTTTTCAATTATAAAATAACAAATCGTATATGTACAGTAATCTCGATCGCGTATTAAAATCCATTCTTGGTATCCGGAAAAACCAAAATTATTCGCGCAAGATCAGCGTACGCGTATATCGACAAACAAATGGCGTAACATCAGATCGTTGCATCCAGCAATCGTGGAACAGATAGATCCTAAAATAACCAAAGTACTCTATGAACGGTATTCAAAGCGGTGAATGAAACGGCCAAGATTCTCAAACGGTACGAATTTACTCAACTTTTCAATGAACCTTGACCTTTTCCGTTATACGACAGAACGTTGTGGCGTCGCGTAACACGTATACCCAAATATTTCCACCCGGGGAATTACTCGATCATGGGCATGGAATCTGAAGTGAAAACGGAAGCGTGTGATCTTCTTGGTGCGTGTTTCGACTACGTGTTTCATTTATATACCGGACAAGGCGATCAGGTTGGAAGGCTCGAAGGAACGCCAACGCCATCGTAGACGCCGTCGCGTAACCACGACACTTTTTCTCCCGGGTTTTTTTATAGAGCTCGACAAGACGTCCTTTCCGGTCGTTTTCCTAGTTGCTCGCAGCTGATAGGCAGCCAGAGATAGCGAGGCTCGTGCGAAGGCACCGGTAACAACCAGCTGAGTGGCGCCAGCCATCAGCTGTTGGTGACTCACGCGAGCCGACCGAGAGCGGCGCGTCGCCGACACACAACCGCACAATCCGCGTGTCTCTCTCTCGCGGCTCTCTCACTAATACACAGCCGCGCGTGCGCGAGAGCACCTAGCACCGACACACACACGCGGAACGCGGACGTGGCACCAGATTCGAACATCCGTGTGCGCGTATATAGGCGCAATTCCGCGGCGTATTTAGCTGTGTTTCTTCGCGCGCGTGAACGCTCGCGCGCCCGCGTCTGCACGTATACCGCGTGAAAACATTCGCACGCCTCCTCCATGTTATGTTTTTCTCGTTTCGTTGTTCGAACGATTGGACGATTCTTTGATTATGTATATCGGAATTTCTTTTATCTTTACGCGATTTATATATTGTTAATGATAGTCGTTGAATTTGATTTGAATTTTTTTAACGTTACATATTTACATATACGTTCGAGAAGGACGTGAGAAGGAAATATTGAATTGGTATAGTTACATAATTCGAAGTTTTCAAAATATTAGCTCAATAATGATAATGTAGTAATATTGTCAATACATACATAATCTCTTATATAATAATAGTTGCAAAATAAATTCTATCGCGAATCGAAATTTTTGAAATTCAATTTCATCATTTTCTCACGCAAATTTTCTACTGACATTCTACTGGTCCAGCATCCGTTCTACGCGAAGAATCTTTTGAAAAAAATCATTCAATTTCAACGTCGCCACTATTATCCGATACGATAACGTTGTTCAACGAACATGTGTGGTATGATAAACTCGAGTTTCATAGAAAATATTTATCGTCAACTTGAAATCGGAGTAGCGACGTAAACTTATTAACTTACAAAAAAAAAAAAAAAAAAAAGAAACGTCATAGATTATTTTCAGGTAGATCGTACAAAAGCGACAAACTATTTCTTCGTTCAGGGACCGACATTCTTTTCGGATGACGATGGTGTTCTAAGCTTTGAGCAACGTGGGCGATGCGGGTCTGAAATTTTCGTATCTATTAGCAACGGCTCGTTAACCGGATGAATCTTCTTTTGAAAGAACAATACATGTATATGTATTGTGTGTGTATATATATATACATGTAGATCTACGATGAAAAGGAAGGTAGCCACCTACTTAGTCGACCTACTTCTACGGGACTGATCCGAGAGAACTCAGCGGGTATCCGACGAACGAGCTGACGTCACAGCAGCCAACCATCCAGCCAGTAAGCCGTCGGCGTACCAGCTGATCTAATGTAACCACTCGATGGGAGAGTACCATGTGGAATTCCGCAGCATGGACCACGTGTTATTATTCCATATCCTGTAGGAAGTCCAATGACTTCATCAGGCGTTGATCAATAATAGTACCCATTCATATTCTCTCGAGTTTTACATTCATATATGTGTAACATTTTTTTCATTTGTAGTATTTATTCTTATATTTCGAAACGTCTTGTACATGCATAATATTTTTTCTTTAATTTTCGTTTCAATTATTTCGTGACAATCATTGTATCAATCATATCGATATAAATCTAAATACTCAAAGTTCAAAAGATTGTACGAGAGAGATATCTCTAGATGTTTTAAACAATGAAAAATTTTTTGGATGTAATATTGTTACGCCATTTAGATTAAAAAATTATCGCTTGTAAATCCAATTGTGATATACGATACGAAGTATCGAGATAAGATCGTGTTCTGATTTTACGAGTATTTTTATAAAATTATCGTTTCATTACATTATGCGCACGGTATTTGCACTCACACAGTTTTCTTTATATTACACGTATATACGTATGGATATATTCCATTTCTATTATCGGCACGCGCTGAACGAATGTTTCAGAGAGCAGGGCACAAGGTCACGGTCTTTCCCTGCTGACTCATCTCACATCCGCCATTCCAATCTTTTCCCTCTTTTCTCTTTCTCTCTATCGTCTCCGCCACGTCTCCGTGTAATTTTACCAGATGTTTCTTAGTGGAGGCTGCATCACTTATTTCCCGTCCTTCTTTTCCATTCTTCTGCCACCGTTTCTCCAGAGAAACGTTCATCTCTTCGTTTCTAAAGTATTCATTACGTTTACCATTGCAATGATACGTCGTTTCGTTCAATTGTTAAGTTCCCCCAAATGTGCATCTCCCTTTCATTAATAATGACTTCGTGAAATGAAATCAAAGATATTTGTTTACGTTTCTCTAACTTTTCTAAGAATACATTGGTAAACCAAACTCTTCTAACATTGCAATTATTCCTTGTCATATTTAAGTAAATGAAAATAATTATAATTTATTATATAAATACAAATTATGTTATTTTTATGCAGATATAAAAAAATTCTCAGCCAACATTGTCTCGGATATCTACAATCTCGTTTAATTATTTTTCTTGTACCCATTGTTGGAAAAACATTGGAAAAGGAATATTTTAATCTCGGCAAATCATTGCGAAACACGAAACGTTGACATTGAAACACATACACAGTGTGTAGAAATTTTCGTAACACGTTGCACAGGCTTGTAAAAAAAGAATTTAAAAAAGAAAAAGAGATTGTGCAAGGAGACATAGGAGTAATTTTACGTGGCGTGGCATTGCGTGCAGGCTTAGTAGAACCTTTGAAACTTGTAACCACAATGACGTCTCGCTTCATTGACCGCGAATTTAACTGTCGATAAGTCCGTGGCTTCCATGTAGTTGAAACAACGTGATACAAACTGGTAGACGCTTTCAATTTTCTTAAAAGCCCTTGGATCCAGACAGACAGCCGTTTTTTTTTTTTTTATTATTTCCGTCTGCGCGCTGGTTTCTGCGCGCTGTATCTCACTTTGGTATCTACTTGGTAAATCAAATATTCAGAGCCACCACAAAACTCGGCGAAACATGAACGTCATATGGGGCGTATGCAGAGAGAGAGAGAGAGAGAGAGAGAGAGCCGGTTGTTTCAGTGTCCTCTTTGATTTTGTATCTCTTTGGTTGCCATGCCAAAAGAGATTGCAACCGGCGCTTGTTGCGCGCCATCAAACGAACGTATTCATTACAATGTTTGCACAGTGACAAAATTTCCCTCTGACACTTGTTAGTATCCTTTATTTTATATCGCATTGATTTCTACATATATTATATAATTGATATATTTTTTGCAGAAGCATTGGAACAGTGGAGGAGGGCTCGGTGGCCACGAGCGTGACGATCGCCGAGGTCGTTGATTCGCAAGAGCAGCAGCAACAGCAATCAAAGAGCAACGGCGCAGTATCTCGCCGTGTTGCTGGTCAAAACGTTGCGCTGAGCAACGGCAATAGTACCAGCAACGTCGGCCGTGTGACACCGCGAAGCCACATGGAGCAGGAGAAGCGTATGCGGCGAGAAATCGCCAACAGCAATGAACGACGTCGGATGCAAAGTATTAACGCCGGTTTCCAGTCATTGAGGACGTTGTTGCCGCACCACGAGGGCGAAAAACTTTCTAAGGTAAGTGGTTAAAAGCATTGTGTTCCCTCTCACTCGATAACCTACCAATTATTATGCTATATCGGGAATCATCCTTGTACAAAAGTATCATCGTTTTCTCGTTTTCAAATTTATGACGAATTTTTTGAGAAAATTTTGGCATGAGAAGCAAAAGATTCCTATAAACTTTGAAATGTTCGATCAGAATCGAATTGTCTGAACAGAATAAAAGTTAATTTAGGATACTTTTCGTAGGATGGAGGAGAGTGTATGATTGATTTAGTTTATGATCGGTGTAGGTTTTTCCAAACGAACGCATACATTTGTATCATCATCTTTCAGTAGTTTTAGAGGCTTTACCATCAAACGCGATATCTATAACGCTTCCTCCAATAAGTTACCTGTGCTGGAGGAAGAAATAATCTTCGGCTTATATATCATCTCTTTTTGGCTTACTTCATCAAAATAACTAGATTGACTCTTTGAATTCGTAATGGTTATTGAACGTTTGATCCCTTTTTATAGATAGTACTATTATAAATATTTCTATATATATACATATATAGAATGAATTCAAAGAGTTAATTTCTCGAATTGTAGTCATATTAGCCATCATTTGCACGTACAAAAAAAAAGGAAGAAGTTGATATTTACAAATAATTTTCTTCCTTTAATTTTTTTTATTTTTATTTTATCTTTTGTTTTTCTTCTTCTCTTTCGTAAAATTAATCATTCACAATTCACTAATTCCAATACAACATATTTTTTCCCTTTATTAGAACGACTAATCCGATTGAATGCAAAATGTGCAATGCGTACAAAAAATTATTCTTATGCTGTACTTTTTGCACGTGATTAAGATTGATAATGAGCATACTACATACTGCACGAGTGATGTACGATTTTTAAATAATACTACTCTGCAACACTTCATTCATCCGATATATTCTTTCATTCGTCATTCTGAATGGTACGTGTTTGATGAGACAATGAGATGACGAAAAAAATTGTTTGTTTAATTTTTAACAATTTATTCATTCAATATTACTGCACTCGATCAAAAATACTTAATATCAATAATAAAAATAAAATCATCACTGTTAATAACCAATAACGAATGAGAAATGAATAATTGATCTAGAATAAAGTTAACTCGATATTGTATATGCAATTATTTTTTTTTTTTTTTTTTTTCCAGTAAGACAAATTTTACGATCATCAAGTACAGTTTTTATCGCAAGTAATTAATAGAGTAGTAATTAATATAATTTTTTTTTCTCTAAAAAATATGATCCAGAAAGAATCGAAATATTTACACGTATATATTTAAATCGATTATTTGCAAGAGTTGTTGGGAAACAACTCTGTTCATATCATTTTCCAATCAAGGAAAAACATATAGTATAGTTTATTGCATATATTCGAGCAATAAACGATCTCATTAGGTACCGTTAAGGCGAGAATAATTTATTTTATGGGCGTAATGTTTCGCCTCGTACGGTCACGTTAGTGGCTGACGATGTGTCCTTAACAGGATGTCGCTCCTACTAAGGTTAACACGTGGACCGGAAACGGTAACCTGTTTCTCTTTGGTAAGGTGAATTCGCCAATAAAGCCCAATCGTTTTCGCGTGAATGTACTAGAATATTACGCAATGCCGACAACGACGGGTTAGCCAGCGGTGGCGGCGGCTTTTACGAATTGTCGCGCGGCGTTGTCCGACTAATTTTAGCATGTGAAAGTCGTCGGCCCGATCCCACGCCGTTAAACTAGACCCGCTCGATCCGCCTCGTATGCCTAGTCATGTCGGTGCTTTAATCGTTTGTCTCGCCCATAGTCCACACCGTGTGACACTGACCGCTTTAGTTTGCCCTTATACGGTTGCTTCTCTATGACGTTGCAAATATCAGCTGACGCCTGTTATCGTTTAATTGGAAGATACACGATGAACTCTACCGAGGCTCTTGGCTCTCCCTCCGTACGTTCGTCTCTCCCTCTCTTCCTCTTTCTTCCTTCCCTTTCGATTTAAAGTTATTATTATTATTATTATTATTATTATTATTATACGGAACGTAAGCAGAAACGTAAGGAGATTTTTTTTTTCGTTCGTTTTATATCAAATGAATGTATATTTTTTTTTATATTTCAGTAAAGCTTGTGACTCATGCGTCTCATTTTGAAATCTCTGTCTCTTTTCTTTTCAACTTTTTAAACTTATGACGGTTTTATCTTTTACACGGATTTTTTTATTCCTTCATTTTTATACATTGTTTGTATTATTTGATAACTTTTTGAGCGCCGGGACCGATAATTCTTTCCATTCAGGTTCGTCATTTGATATTTTGGATAGATAATGTAGAAACATATGTTATATCGAATGAGTTAATATTATTCAAAGAATGGCTTGATATCGAGTAAAAGTTGAAGAATTTTAAATCGTACGGAAAATATTTTTCAAATAATTATCAACTAATTTGTTCGTATCTATTTATGTATCTAAAATCTAAAAATAATTAATATTTTAAGCTTCGTTGGCGTAATTGTAAAATGTACATTTCATGTATGCATAAATAAAAACAATTATCAATTTATTAGCGGAAAAGATACACGTATTCAAAAGTCATTATATCTTTTTAGTATCATTAAAATATTTACATTTGCCTCATCTTGTGACGCGATTTGTCGAAACAATCCAACATTTGTATAAATTTTCCATTTCTGAAAGCAATTTACTCGTTCGTTACGATATTTGAATGCAACGCGTATATAATATACTTGTATGCGGAAAATCAGCTGTTAATTCACAGCAGTAGTTACGAGTCATGCGGCACTCGGGGTTCTTGTCCCGACTGACATACATGCGCATTGTGCGCTTACTTTTAACGCCAGTAATTTATTTCTAATAATTGAAAATCGTAGAAATTTTCGCGCGCCCTAATTATGATCGCGTTTCTCGATACAATTAATTCTCTGCATTCTTTTTTTTTTCTTTCTTTTTGATTTCTCTTTTTAAATTTATACGAATATGAAATTGATCTTCTATAAACTTTTAAGTTGTATACAAAATTCTCATTTAAAATGAAAACTAACGCTTGGATAAATAGAATCGGGAACTTTCATATGCTCGCCAGTTTCCCGCAGTCTCTCGTCTCTCTCTCTCTCTCTCTCTCTCTCTCTCTCTCTATATATATATATATATATATATATATATACACGCTTAGCTTCCTTTTCTCTGTGTGTGTACACGTACTTTCGCAATGCGATATTTCGCGAACCAGTCCTCGGGCCACATGGTTCAATTCCCACGCATTTCTCTTAAGGAGATCGCTCTGCTCCTTTTGTTCTTTCACTCTTTCCTTTTCGCCTCTGCTCTTCCTCCCTCCACCAAGTACTTCACCCTTTTTTGTCCTTTTCCTTGTATTTGGCCTCGCTTCCTTCCCTCCACCGACCGATTCTCCTCCCCATCTTCTTTCTCTTTCTCCCGATACGATGAGACGAAGGCCAAGCTCGGTCAACGAATTTTGGCGAAGCCCTGGCCCACTAACAATCGCGTCTCACGTGTGTACACGCCCGCGAGGTTGCCTTCCCTTTCGCTACGTGGCGAATATTAACGAGACCGGTGTCCAAATACGAACGCATCCCAGTTTCCTTTTTTACCGGCCGGAACTTTTTGCTCGTTACACGCGGCAGCGTCGAAAAATGGACCCTGGAGAACGTTTTCTTATTAATCCACGAAACGCATCGGTGGCCGTGGGTTTCACGTGCAAAGTTTCCAAACGCGTTTTCGAGAAAAAAGAAGGAAAAGAAAAAAAATAACAGGGAAGGGGAAAAGAAGGGTGGCCTATGCGATATATAGGCGTAATGCATCCCGGTGCTCGTATATACGATCTCGAGTAGTGTCGCGCCTTTTGTAGCGACACTCTCTCTCTCTCTCTCTCTCTCTCTCTCTCTCTCTCTCTCTATATATATATATATATATATATATATATACACGCTTAGCTTCCTTTTCTCTGTGTGTGTACACGTACTTTCGCAATGCGATATTTCGCGAACCAGTCCTCGGGCCACATGGTTCAATTCCCACGCATTTCTCTTAAGGAGATCGCTCTGCTCCTTTTGTTCTTTCACTCTTTCCTTTTCGCCTCTGCTCTTCCTCCCTCCACCAAGTACTTCACCCTTTTTTGTCCTTTTCCTTGTATTTGGCCTCGCTTCCTTCCCTCCACCGACCGATTCTCCTCCCCATCTTCTTTCTCTTTCTCCCGATACGATGAGACGAAGGCCAAGCTCGGTCAACGAATTTTGGCGAAGCCCTGGCCCACTAACAATCGCGTCTCACGTGTGTACACGCCCGCGAGGTTGCCTTCCCTTTCGCTACGTGGCGAATATTAACGAGACCGGTGTCCAAATACGAACGCATCCCAGTTTCCTTTTTTACCGGCCGGAACTTTTTGCTCGTTACACGCGGCAGCGTCGAAAAATGGACCCTGGAGAACGTTTTCTTATTAATCCACGAAACGCATCGGTGGCCGTGGGTTTCACGTGCAAAGTTTCCAAACGCGTTTTCGAGAAAAAAGAAGGAAAAGAAAAAAAAATAACAGGGAAGGGGAAAAGAAGGGTGGCCTATGCGATATATAGGCGTAATGCATCCCGGTGCTCGTATATACGATCTCGAGTAGTGTCGCGCCTTTTGTAGCGACAGGAACAGCACCACTTTGGTAAAGAAATAAAAAGAAGGAGCGCAAATGAGCACAGACGCCTCGACCCATTTTCATTTAGCGCTCGCCAGACAAAAATAAAAATAAACCGCTCTTCTCTCTTTCTGTTCACGAGGCTTTTAACGAAACTTGGATCGTGCTTACCGCGGTTATGCCCGTGTATTTGTGCCGGGGTTGTTTCGCACGCATAATCATGGCCTTTAATGCCACGCGAGATCGATATCGGATGCGTAATACAGCCTTCGAACGTGTTTTCATTGAAACAGTCTGATTAATGGTAATGACAACCCGTTTTCTACTGTCACC